AGGTTCTGATGATTTGTCAGAAATATTTTAACCGTCAACAGCAGCCAGTATGATGGTGTCAGTTCCTGGCAGCACAGCAAACAAGGTGTCTAAGAACGGAATGTTGTCCTGCAAACATTTGTGGATACACCTCCTCCTGGTCGGATAAGTATGCACTAACTGCCCTTCTGGCCTGTTCTGTATAGACTCACCTGACAGCTTGACGGTTGAGAAGAAGTGATAAGAAACGAGAAATTAAGTAAGATTAGTCAAAGGTATTTAGAAGACCTGACAAAAGAAGAGAAACTAAGCACGAACAAAAGCAGCTACCCGTCTCACCACCTCGGATCATGTCGCTGTCAAAGCCAGAGGACCAGCTAGCCTACGAGCTGAGCTGTCCCATCTGCCTTCAGCTCTACTTGGACCCGGTGGCTCTCCCCTGTGGGCACAACTACTGTCTATTCTGTATCCGCAAAACTATTGACAGCACGGATAAGACTGGCAAAATCCTGCCGCGCTGCCCAGAATGTCGTGAGGAGTATCCTGGCACGGATAACCTGCAGATAAATTTCAAACTTCGCAGCATCATTGAGAACTACAAGGCCACCGCGCTGCTGCTGAACATGCAAGCCGACTGCGTGGATACCAAAATGGAGGTTTTCTGCGATCAGTGCATAGATGAGCAGTCGCCCGCCGTGAAGACCTGCCTGAAGTGTGAGGTGTCTCTCTGCTCCAGACACCTTCAGAAACACCACGAGAAGGAGTTGTTCAGGACCCACCCCGTGGTGGAGCCCACGACGGAGCTGAGAGTGAAGGCCTGTGCCATCCACCAGCGTCCCCTTGAGTACTTTTGTTCCAACGACATGATGTCTCTGTGCACCACGTGCGTCGTAGAGGGTCATCACGAGAGCCACGACGTTCTCATCTTTAGCGTAGCTGAAGAGGAGATGAGACGAGCGCTGGAGGCCCGAAATAAGGTACTTTTGACTGCATTAACATTTTAACATTTTACCTACTGTTATATTGTAGCATTATATATTAGGAAGGGGGGTTATTATATATGTATTAATAAATAAATTGATAACCTACAAAATGTGGGCATATCTGGGTCAGCTGAGCATGCACAAAAGTGAAAGTAGTGCTCAGACAGGGCTTGTAGACTCATGAATAAAATATTCAAGTTATACAAATGCATAATTCATGTTATAAAAATATGTGAATCCCATCAGGGAACTTACTGTTGAGAAATGTCAAAACCTGAAAATCCTGTAATATAATTTTGGAACAATGTTTAAAAGACTATGCTCTATGCACATGGGACATAGACATGGGAACTGAACTTGTTTCACGTATAAATTAAGGGCTTGGCACCTCAGTGACTCACTGCCATTTTTGAGGAGTGGTGAAGATCTGGAATGCAAAACAAATCTGTCTGATAGGAATAACCTGATGACCTTTGGCAGAATCTAAGGGAGTGCACAGTTTCGTGCTATACATACAATTCAAAAGTGCAAAGTCAGACCGTTGAATTTAATATTTTGGACCAGAAAATGATCAAACTTTGATGGAATATGATCATATATTACTTAACATTACAGAAAACATTTACAGTACTATATATATGTATATATAGATCTGTTTTCTCTACTTGTTTTCCGAAAGCACTTACGAGAAAAGGGCACCCAGTTTTTCCAGATCCGAAATCTTTTATGCTTATACACAATAGAAAGAATCCTGTCGTGTGAAACTCAAAAGATCTTAAAACATATTACATGTGTGTTTGCAGGTCATTTCTAGCAGACTGCAGCTGACAGAGGGACTCCTGCAGAAGACAGCAGAGGATCAGGGAACCTCTGAAGCTGTAGGAGAAAAAATGGTCAGCAAGGCTGTGACAGTCATGGACAGCATAGGTGCTCTGGTGGACAGGTAACCTGCTGCACATTTGCTGCTAGTAACACTGCCTTAAAAAGTAGCAGGTGGTGTAATTAAGCAAATGCAGTGACCAAAGATGGACTTAAAGGCTTTGAAAACACATTTCCCCAATTACAGTCTGAACTATATGAGGTATGAATGCACGCTCAACAATCTCTCATAAAACCAAACACACCCTGTTCTGATAGAATATCCTCACGAATCTTTGACTTTAAAGCACTTGATAAAAATGTTTGCAGGTTTTCATTTGATTTTTGTGGTTAAACGTTAAACTCTACAACCATCACAATGTAAAAATAGATGGAATGAATTCTCAATAAAGAACAGGAATTATCTTTTTTTCCCAAATGCTTTAAAAGTCAGCCAGTGTTCGTGCACAGTATGTTTTCAAACAGCAAGATGACAAATGATATTGGCTTTAAAAAGGTGTGGAAAACCCAGAATGCATATTTCAGAGGTGGTAGAACAGTTTCTTCAGGAGCTTCTCTCTGACAGGATGTGCTTCATATTTTCAGCAGCAAATAAAAATACAGACCAAAACTTCGACCCCTCAAAGAATGTAGTAAGCATGTATGTAATTAATGCAGTTCATCTGCATTTTAGGCCTACCAGCGTCTGTTTTGTGGTGCAGATTCAAGGGTGTCTGTAACACCCTAATACTTTAGTAAGTTTCAAGAAAACATTCAAGAAGGTATATCTTTGGAAGGAAGTAAGACTGAAATGTAGAGCTCAGTCACATTAGTGAGGCTGTGTGTGAGCTAGTTGTACGTTAAGTTAAATAAAAATATTGAGCATGCATAGCAGCAATTTCCCCAGGGCCAAGGGACTGTTGGAGGAGTTTATTATGTCATAGGTTGTCCAAATTAATATATGGACGTTCATGCTGAGGGTTGGAACTTTCTGGAAGTTCAGGAACTTCTGGGTGTGCCTCCTAGCACATTTCTTATCATTTAGGTAGTCTACCAGCAGCATTTCAGCCAGTTTCATCTCACAGGCATTTTCTCAGTACCAGGTATTTATTAAAAGAACAAAAACAAAAACAACTCACATACATAATCAGATGCTATCTGTTTCGCTTTTTTGTTTGATTTTTAAAAAACCATTTGGCTAGCTGGCTAACCTTATCTAATTAGCACAGATTATAACTTAGATTGTTGAATATTTTCTGAGCTTTGTGATTATTTCTCATTGTATGGACACAATGGATGCATGTACAACTTTAAAGCAGACACAGTGATGAATCGATCTACCTGACTCTGTTTAGTAACATCACGATAATAAAAGAAATAAAAATGACCAGTCGGCTTCACTTGTGTGCTGTGATACAGGTACAGGGATCGCCTGCTTTTGCTCTTGGAGGAGGAGAGAGGACAGCGCCGCAAAAGCTGGCAGCTAGGCGTGAGTGCACTTGAGGAGCAGCAGCAGCAGCTGATGGAGGCCCAAAAGAGTGCCACAGAGGTCCTCAATGAGACGGACACATGCATCTTTATACACAGGTACAGAAATCTGCCCTGCTATTACAATTAAAAAGAAGAAATATATAGAACAATGTAAAAATGAAAAGAAAAGTGAAAGTGATGCAGTATTCTTACTGATAAACCGACATTTAATTGTTTATTACCCATGGCATATGGCTAGATGAGTTGAGTAAGTAATAATAAATCCTTTGCTCTCCAGGTTCATGCAGATTGAACAAAAGCTGAGACATGTTGTCACCAGTGCCATTTCCTCCAACATCCCCTCAAAGGCTCCACTCAATAATATGTGCCTGCAGGGAGGTCTCAAAACCCAAGACTTCTGCACAGAAATGACCCGCCTCATGGATTCTCTTCATATCCTCCTCAACCCACTGGAACTCACCTTCAGCATCTTCACCGCCCACCCCAACCTGCTGGTGTCCAACGATCTGCGCACAGTCAAATACAGCTCCAACAAGCAGTCGTACCCGGAGCACCCCGAGCGTTTCACGAGTGCACCTCAGATCCTGTGCAGCCAGGGTTTCTCTGGCGGCGAGCATGTATGGGTTGTAGAAGTGGGACCCAATAGCATGTGGTCATTGGGCGTGTGCTACAAGAGCATTCCTCGCCGTGGTGACCACAGCCGTCTGGGGCACAACACTGTGTCCTGGAGGCTGCAGTGGAAAAACGGCAAGCTGACAGTGTGCCAGTGCTCCTCAAATGTGGTCCTTAAGGAAGTGACCACACCACCGGTCAAGATTGAGGTTGCACTGGATTACGAGGGGGGAACTTTGACGTTCCACAGCACCAAAGGGCGCAGGGAACATCTCCACACCTTAAAGGCTGTGTTTAAAGAGCCTGTTTACCCGGTATTCAGTATACTTTCAAACACACCAGACTCCTGGATCACACTGAGCAGTGGGATGTGAATACATCCTGCATAGAAATTGCTTGGGTAGTCAGCCAAGTGAACTGCCTTCCAGCTAACACAAAAACCCGCAATACGTCTGCTGCCTTGCATTGTATAAATTTAGCATTACAATCACATGAGATTGTTTACAAAAATGTGTTATTCATGTTTTGGGTGTTTTAATAGAGTAGATTTATCAATACAGGCGCCTACTACTTTTGTGAGATCTTGAGGCATAAACATTTATGTCACAAGATCATGTTTCCATTTTGTGTGTTTTGTAAATGTTATTGGAACGTGTTGAATGTTGTGTTTGCTCCCCATACAGTAAACACTGCTGTGCGCAGACGCTGACATTTAGGCATAAACCGAGACATGTTTTGTGTTAATTCTATAAATAAACTTATCTGGCAATGTTTCTGTGTGTCTTGTGACCAACTTTCTTTGTCTCAATACTTTTACGGGTGCATAGAAATAATCTATGCCGTATATAGCCTTTGATTGGCTGTTGATATTTCAGCCATTCAACTATGACCCTGGAGTTGCCAGGTGTGCCTGTAAATCCTTGTTTTTTTTTTTAAGCGATTAAGCAATTTGCATTTAATCTGACTTCCCCCAGAACACACATGTAATAATTTCTTATTAACAATTTCGTATTCACACGCAATGTTATCATTTCCAACACACGATCTGACCTTTACACATGTGCAAGAGGAGGATGGTTCACGAAGAACCTGGCAACCCTATCCCTTCTGTCTCACATTCTGTCATTGGGCAGGACAGCAACATTATTTCATATTATAAACATTTTTCTCACCACGAAAGCTGTGCGTTTGCAGCAGAAGCATGGGTTCGGGAGAGAGTACAACAAGAAAAGTGTCCTTCGGTGTTGACGATGAGGACAGGGTCAGAATTCTCCGTGGAGTCAAGGTAATGCTAATTTAGCTAGCACTTGAGAAGCCATGTTAGCATTACTTTAATGTCTCGTTTAGCGCTGACTGGCTATTGTCAAATTAAGTTGTTGCTTTGTTCAAGCTATCAGTCTACGACCGGTAGAGTGTCACTGCTAAAATGAGGAGGTACAAAGGTAGGAAGAGGGTGGGACAGGTTGTTGAAAGAGCTGAAATATGTAAAAAAAAAATGTTGTTACCCCAAACTCCATTCGTAATAAGGTGAAAATAGTAATGTTCCTTGTTTACAAGTAAAAGAATATACGTGGCAGATGCTCTAAGAAATATAGAAAACTTTAGCACCTTAAGGTAAATTCGGCATATACATTGCCTACTTAGCAGGAAAACTAATTGCCCGAAATTAAACCTTTTAGCTGTTACCTAGTCGCTGGCATTTGCTAACAACGTTAACACAATAACACATTTAGTTTGCATTGAAACGTTAAAGTTCGCTGTTATCCTACGTGAACATGTCTGCTGCACAGTAAGTGTGTATCAAAGAAAAACGGGGAGACTCGTATAAATGTCATAACTGCCTAACATGTTGGTTTAACTGAGCATATGTTTAACTAAAAGTGGATGGCTTGAAATGAGCAGATTTCAAACGAGGTTTGGTGTGGAGTTGACGCCTCTTTACAGTGTTGCTTTCACGTGCTGTTGGACATATAGAAAGCTTATACTTTTAACACAACCAAGTAGAGCGAGTTAGTGTATGCAAGTGAAACCAATGAAACACTAATGCAGTTGCATATATAACTAAATTGTCGTCTTCTAAAACAGGAAACGATAATGAACAAAACAACAAATAGAAATGATTTCAACAGGGTATAGGCATGTCTAGTTTTGCTGAGCTTTCGGTCACCTGTCAAGCGCTGACAAAATCAGTTAGATAATCATACACCTCCATGTTTATTTCTTTTCTGAACTCGTTTGTGGAGATTCTTGCATTGTCATAATGATGCAGATGTGTACTCATTTCACCTTTAGCCTGTTGGTGTGCATGATTAAGTGGTAAATTAAAATTTACCACAGTTAAACTTCTTGCATGCGCACACATACAGAAAGTCAGCTGGTGTGGGTGTGTGCCTCCAAATATCCTGACATTATGAGGAAATGAAGACACCCTCAGATCCTGCAAAAACAACGACTGGAAATTAATACGTTGTGGTGGAATGCAATGGGGTTAGCAGGTTTGTAAATGTAAAAACAGTTTTTATGTAGTGCTTTTCTACTCTGAGCACCCAAAGTGCTTTTAAAATCTTTTGTGAAAATGTCTGTAAGAAGAGAGCCTGCCTTGGTTGCACATTCAGTGTGACTCATAGAAACAGTGAGTCAGTGCTCCCTCCTGTGGTTTTTGGGGTAGTAGTGCTTAAGGACTTCCCTGGATACACAAAGACACACACACACACATACAGATACACATACAATAGAGGTTCAGTGATCCTCTATTAATGGCATGTTTAAGAGGCTCATGCTTTTTTGTTGTTGTTGTTTTTTTATCTGAAGGATTACACAAATGTTTTTTTTTCTATGAAATAAATAAAACACGTCGTGTATATTATATGCTTTGTTGACTCTGTTTGTCCAGCTGTCAGAAGATGTTCTGCAAAGAATGAGAGGAGTTGCCAACATTGCCCCAGACCGCACGTCATCACCTGCCTCAAGCCCTCAAACAAACACAGGTAGTGATCATTTTTGAGATTAGATTCTATTGGTGCCTCTGCACTTATCAAGTTTGCTTAGAAGCCAGTTTGTTTTAATTATTCCCCTTTTGATTGCTGACAGTTTATTCTCTCTCTCTCTCTTTGTGGGAGTAGGTTTCACTGAGTCCCAATATTAACCGTTTTATTATCTCTGTGTGAACACACTGACTGGAACTGAGGTGTGAAAAAACCTCACCCGCTGTGAATTAGGCGTCATTGTTCTGCTATGTGCAGTTGCAAGTACAGTGTGCCAACATTGTGTGAGAACTTGATAAACTTTGACACATACAATTCAAGGGAAGTGGACAATTTGGAACTGGTTCTCGATTCTCATCTGTAAATGCAGTATCACATCAGCTGATACGTGTTTAACGAGAAAATATTTTTTTAAGAAAAAAAATGTGTTGCCTGAGCTTTTTAACTAAGCTTTTTAACTTTTTAACTTTATACTTACATATCTATATTATTGCTAATATATATATTGTAATATATCTATATCATGGCTAAAGTACTTCTGGATGGATGCAAACTGCATTTCGTTGCCTTGTACCTGTGACATGTGCAATGACAATAAAGTTGAATTCTATTCTAACTGGACACCTGTGTCAGAATAAACTGAGAGCGGGAAATGATTTTGGCAGCCAGGGAAACGTTGTGGTGTCCTCGTTTAAAGAAAAAAAAAAATCACTATTTTTCTTTTTCTTTAGTGGAATTTAATTTACTGAAATCGACTGTTGCTTATCAAATTGTCAAACATTGCCAGAAAATGTATAGGGTTTTACACTTCTATTAAGAAAACACAGATTCACTATCAACTAAATGTCTGACCTAAAGTAAATTTTGAGCCATGAAAAATCTTTTAGTTCATACAAACATTTTTTTTCTTAAGAAAGATTACAATGTTTGATTATATAGTATTAATTATACATGTGCATTAGTCCCTATTTTGACAGTAAAGCTGTAAGCCACAAAAGTGCCAAAGTTGTTTTTACCTTGTGTGATAATCTTTTTTCCTTTGAACATTTGTTGTCTTTGTTCAGCCTCCTCTCACAGTGCCAGCTCAGGCTCTCAATCTCAGCAAGGCCCACAGCAGCGCGCACAACCCAGTTCGCACTCCAGCAAATCGGCCTCCTTCAGCAAGGAAGATCAGAGGAGGTGAGTTAAAGGAAATTCAGGATACAGATTTTAGTTAAGATTTCTGCCTGGTGACCATTTGAATGCATTGCAAATAGAATTGCTGCATATTGGAGCAAAAGGTTTTTTGTGATTTGTTATAAATCACAAGGTTGTGTTGCTGTTTGCGTTGGAAAGAGAACAAAAAATGTGGAAGGTGTGCCACATTTTTTTTTTGAAGGCTCAATCAAAAAAACTAAAATGAGCTGTAACAGGATAATATGCAACACTGTGAAGGTTTCAGAAATATGATCTGATGCTTATCATTTCAGAGAGCCTTTAAATCGAGAGCTTCTTCTAAAAGAGTCCTGACTAATTTAACCTGCAGGGCATCATGCATGGTTTCATATTAAGTCAAGTTAAGTAAATGCATAAATAAATACCTGGAAAAATTATCAAGCTCCTTTTTCCATTCTGGGTTGTGCAATTGTACAACATGTCTCTGTTTTGATGGAAGCTGTTTTTGTATCCAAAGAGGTTTGATTTTTGCAAGATGCAAGCTTGCTAGTTCAATATTGGTTACCAGTGTGTCTATATAAAGTAGTTTCACAAATTATTTTAGCTGTCATGGCCTTTGCTATTTATAAGCTAAACTCAGGTATCACTTGACATTTGAGACCCGGGTTAAACTGTGTTGCACAGGATAAATCATGTTTGATAAGGACCTTCATTAATAGTAATTTTGTTCATTTGAAAATGGATAAAAGGAGGTAATTCTTATTTCATGTCAGCATTCTGATTCATGTCTAATGAATGAACTAAACTCCTGATAAGTTTGATGCTACCCTACAATGCATGTTTCTAATATTCTATGGAGGGAGCTTAAAGTGTTTCTATACTGCCCCCTAGTGGACATACATAAATATATACATACAACATCTGACTGTACTGTGGAAAGCCATGAAAAACAGTATAAAAGATTAGTGTGCGTTAAACCTCCATTCTTTGTAACACCTACCATCAGGCCATGTGAAAAGGCTTCTGGTTCAATAGAAGGCTATGGGAAAAAGGTCCTGAGCTGTGACCTCTGTAAACACTTTCCCGATGACTTTATGGGCTCAGTCACTCATTTCAGATTATATTGAATTAAAAATAAAGACTTTTTACAAACAAACAAAAAAATTTGGTCTTTCAAAGTGTCATGAGGATTATCTGTAATCCATCTTACATACTTTAATGTGTCAGTTTGCCATTAATGTAAGCAATATTCATTATATGTATGGTTTAAGGTATGAACAACAACAGAAGTTACTGAAGGAAGAGTGGGCCAAGATGGCACAGCGAGAAATGGAGGCGGCAAAGGAAGAGATGGCCAAAGCCACGAGCCGGGAAAGACAACAAACACGGCTGGAAGCTGAGAGGACCAAACAGTTGGTATATACACACCCACACACCCATGCATGCGTCAGACATGTTTTCTATTAAAGTTTAAATCTCTTGTTTCTTTCATGTGTCGTGTTGAGCTGCTACTGATAGTTTAAATAAGAGTGAAGTAAGTTCATATTTAAAACACTTTAGTCCAGGGGTCCCCAATCCCAGTCCACGAGGGCCGGTGTCCTGCAGGTTTCAGATGTGTCCTTTATCCATCACAGCTGATTTAAATGGATAAATTACCTTCTCAGCATGTCTTGAAGTTCTCCAGAGGCCTGGTAATGAACTAATCATGTGATTCAGGTGTGTTGACCCAGGGTGAGATCTAAAACCTGCAGGGACACCGGCCCTCACGGACTGGGTTTGGGGACCCCTGCTTTAGTCAGTCACACTGCACTAGGCAGGACCCTGTAGGAAGTAATTTCTCTGCAAGGGTTAATACAGATGTCTCTGAAAGTCGGTCAGTACGAAAGCTTTGGGAGTCTAAAGCAAGACAAGAGGGGTTTGCAAAGTGGTAGGAGATTCAGATTTAATCCAATTAAAAATTGCCATCACATCCAAAGTTATAAAAAATCAAAAAGTATTTTTTGCATAAAATAAAAAACTATACTCCTACAGCCAACCTTATATGTTATGTATGACCTAATGCAACCTGAAATGACCCTCTGGGCATTGCTGACCATTTGCTGTATATACTTAAACAATAACAACTCTGTACTCCAGCTTAACTAATTGCCTCTTCTAGTTTTTCTTGTTACACCTAACACGCCTTGCCTCTCCTTCGACTGCCGCTCTATGTTTACAGAAACTTTGTGCATCATTTCTGTTAATATGGTTATGATGTGAGTGAGGGATATGATGTTGCTTCCCCCTGCAGTATCTGCCAGTGACCCATTGAGGGAGCTGTTGCTGCCTGTGTACAGTTCTTTAAAGTTTTAGTCAGCAGTCATCCTAGCTCTGTTCACTGAAGAGGTCAGGTGTTGCACGAGTTTGTTGATAAAGTTGTGTAAAAGTGGATTAATCTGAGTGGGAGGAGATAGGTTTGACGTGGTGTCAAGATGTGACTCAGTCTGATGAGTTTGTCTGTGGTTAAATTGGAGTATTCATACGGACGCAAATTGGCTCTTGAGATTGAATTTGCAATTTCCATGATGATACTCCCCCCTGCCTCCTCCTCGTCCTCCTTTTTATCCTCCCCTTCTCACCTATTACATCCCTGTTCTTTTTCTATCTACTCCTCTTTCCCATGTTCTCCCTCCCTCATTTCTCTTTCTTCTTTCCTGCCCTCACCCCCTATCTCACTCTGTCTTTCTCTCCTTTTCTATCCCAGCCCATCACTCTCTCCTTCCTGCCCGGGAGACGGTATTATCAGCGTAGTGCAAGCGGTAAATTGCACCCTGAGAGTTTCCTGGAGCTGGAGATAGGAGTGGTGCGGAGATGCCCGTGTAGTCATGGGTGGGGAAGGTTGAGGGGGGGGGCTCTTGTTGTACACATCAGCCGGTGCCTGTTTCATACAACTCTTCCTCCCCCTTCCCCTCCTATTACACCCCCTCCCCCCCATCGCTGTAGCGCCTGTCTTATCTCCACTCCAACATACTCCCACTGCTAATAGAAAGCTGCTGGAGGGATGCGCTGAGCAGAATGACCGCTTGAGCAGGACTGGACCTCCTGATGCTGAGGGCTGCTTGTAATTACTGTTTCTGTGCTATGAAAACCTACATGCACATGCATACGAAGTGTGGGCAGACTTGCTCACATTCTTTACTCAAATTTTATTTTTTATTTTTTATTTTTTTTGCTGTTATGGAGTCAGAGAGCATGATCACTCATCTTCCACAGTTCTTTGTCCTGTGCACCCTTGCATGGGTAGTTTTTTTTTTTTTTTTTTTGTCATTTATAAGAATGTTATATTTTGTATCACAGTAATACAGACATAGCAAAGAGTATATCTAGTGCATACTGTATGAGCAGTTTGCCTAAACTTATCCATTAAGGTGTATCCATTAATCATCCATTAATCACCTCCAGCCAGCAGATTTATTTATTATAATATAGCATATTTCCCATAATTGAGTGGTTTCTGTGAATCTCCAACCTCTTGGAGAATCTCAATAAAAGGTCATATAAAAAGAAACTAGAGGTATGTATTCAAAGACATGCAGGTTTAGTACCGGTTCAGCATTTAAAATATAGTTTTTATGTGGATCAGCAATACTTTGCTAAATTTTCACTAAAATTGCTCATTTAAGTTGCAGTATTTTATTTTTCTGAGCCCCAAATTACTGGAGATGGCCATGTGAAATATTTCAGGGCTGAATAGCACATTTACAAAACTGTCCTGAGAGTTCAAATGCACTGCAACTTGAAAAAGACAAATCAAGTGCTGCAAAAGCACACAAAACACAAAGAAAGTTGAAGAAAATACAATGGAAACAGAAAAAATTCCACAAACTCACAAAACCCAACGGCAGTGTTTTTGGGAAGACAACAATGTGACGAACAAGCTAACAGTAAACAGCTAATAGCAATAGTAAAGTGTTGCTTTTTCTATTTGTTGGTGTTTTCTTAAGCTGCAGTGTGTTTGAAATCTAAGGACCACTGTACGTTTAAGCTTTATTAAAAATGTTTTAAATTTAAAACCAAATCGATTTTACTTTCAACCAGGAGCCACAGTCTAAGGGAATGTCCTATCTGTGACCATCTTTCATAATCAATATGGATTATGTTTTACTAGCAAAACTGGTACATGGCATAGAGCACATGGATGTTGGATGTTCACTGTTTTTTCCGATAAACCAGTGGAGGAAAAGATGGGATTTGGGGTAAACTTTAAAAGTGACATTTCACCGTGTAGGTTAGGTGGTTGATTAAAACAGGATTTAAGCCAATGAAAGGTCCTATTTCTTCCTGCCATTGTAATACCAAAACCTGTGCTCACATTGTAGCTGTGATTACCAAATTCTTTTAGGTGTAAAGGATTTAGATCATTTTTAAATCTCAGTGGTGTCTCTGTGCTTTTTTGCTTTTGGGAAGCGAAAGAGCATTAGGACCCAGAACAGGCTAATCACATCAGACATGACATGTACACAGTGTAGATGGACGAGTGTTTACAAGTTAAAAACATAATAATAAAAGTGAATATTTTGTTATTTTTAGTGATAAAAATCTAAATAACTTTCGAGTTTTGATGGATTACATAGCTGGCAGCAAAGTTCTCTGGCACCCATGGTCAGAACCAATGTACATTTGGCAGGGAGCCATATTAATTATGCAAGGAAAAGTTTAAAGCTGTGACAGTTATGCAATATTTCCTGAAAAGGGAAAATAAATGGATGAGGAAGACTGAACATATGAGACGATTCAAAATGGGAGCTGACAGCTGATTAAGCATTTACTAAGTAATTGGGAGCAAGAAGGATGTGAGCATGAAAAAGAAGTGACGGAACATTTTGTGAAGGGTTAGGATGAAGAATGAAGAGGAGCCGGGAATGAATGGGAGTGAAAGAGAAGATGACACGCATTTCCTGCGGAATAGAACTGAGGAGAAGGGAACGAAAAAGGAGCCCTTTACAAGCGATTGAACATTTCGTGAAGGATCCACAAGGAAGTGGAAGGGAAGCGCAACAATGGGTCAACGAGAAGGAAGGAGGGACTATTTGTAACGCTTCTTTGTCGCATTGGGAGGATGAATTGCAGAAGGAGGGTGTGATTTTTTAAAAGCGGGTTACAAGATGAATAAATATTTCGCACAATCAGGAGATGTTAGACAAGGAGGGATGAGGGGTGGCAGGGGTTGAGAGAAAATATGAAATCTGAAGGAGAAGGACGAGGAGGAGAACAAAGACGGAAAGAAATGATGAGCAAGAATGAAAATGACAGATGCCTCAGCACTGCATACAGAGGGGAGGGATACGTGCAGGGAGAGTTTAAAAAAAACAAACAGCTGAGTAAATGCTTCCTGTGGAAGTTGAAATAAAGAAGATTTAGATGTAAGGCATGAAGACTGAAAGTAGCACCACTAAGTTTAACTAGTTTACTAGTTTAACTAATGTTTATGATGATCATCATGATGATGATCCAGAAAGAAGACGCAGCAGGTGACCTGCAGAATTGTTAGAAAGCGGAGGATTAGGAGGAGAGAGGAGCTGTGCAAATGTGTGCCGAATGGACGGAGTCGCGATTTATCCTTGAGTGTCGGAACAAAGGTGTGAGGAGTGGGCAGAGAAGGTTGCTACAGGTGACTCAGTGCCCGCTGTCCTCGTGCGTGGTCGCAGCACTGAGTCACACGTCAAGAAAGAGCCGGTCAGCGATGTGTGGCGTCTGCTCTTTAACTGCTTCTTTCTTTTCCTGTGCCTTTCACTCCCTCGCTCATTTCCTCCTGTCTTTTGTGCTCTTCCTAGCGCACTGCCTGATCCTTCTGTTCCTCTGGCCCTTTCCTCATCTTTCAAGCCAAGGCTCTCGCCCATTGTGCCACACTCTGTGAATAGTCTTTGTTAATAGCAAATCTTCTGCAGATTAATTTCAGATTAAGTGTGTGTGTGGGGGGGAGGAGAACGGGAGAATAGAAAGAATAGAAGCAAGTTGAACTAAAGAGCTAAAAGGGATTTTCTCTTTTTATATTGTATTAATGGCCTTTTGGTGCGTCTTGAAAGCCCCACCCCCCCTTTAAAAATAAAAAAAAAGGTTATAAGTCACATTAGCATATGGTAAATTTCTCTCTCTGCCTCTGTGTTCTCACAGAACAATTAGGAAGACTATTTTATTAGCTACCCTTTAACTTCCTCTGACTGAGCTTGGGCTAATATAAAATGCCAGCCTTGTTTTTCTCATTCTTCAAATGTGCCTTTTAAGCACAGGTGAGTCAGTTGCATCTTACTTGGACTTAATGTGACAGGGAACATGTAAGGTGGTTAAAGGGTATTATGCAGGGAATTTTTCATGTCAGTATAACACTTTTAAAACTATTTAAGGCTTCTGTTTATTCAGGAAACCTCTGTTTGGGA